CAGCAGAGCAAAGTGAGGGAAAGGAAAAACAAATTTACTCTTGAATGAAAGTATATACTCGCAGCCAAGCTTCTGAGATTTTCACTGCACTTCTAAAAGAAAAGAAAAACAGGTTCAGCTTAACTTGTGTAYTTAGACTTAACAAGTAACACTGAAGGGCAGCGGGAGCCTTTGACAACTCCTCTCACCACGTAACTAAGTACTGAGAGTACTCTTTGACATACAAACACCCATATGCTTCATTAGCATGATTTTGCTTTTGAGTTACCACATTCTAAATAACCCTCTTGGTTTTTTTTCCTTTCACCTGATGGATATTACTAAGGCAAATATCCTCATCCTGAAAGTCAGGCATAAGGCTGTGTTCACAATCTCCAGGTAGGTTTAAGATACAAAACACAATTTACATATATGGAGAGAAACTACTATAGTGCATTTATCTTGAGTAATTAAATCATGGTTATTATCCACCTTGTTTCCAAAATATAATAAAAAGAGAAAGAAAGAGYCTTTAAGACATAACAGCCTTTGCAGTTTACCCTGTTGGTTAAAAAAAAAAAAAAGCCAGATATTTGCTTTAAGTATTTTTTTGAAATCCAGATCCTGTTAGATAATTATAGTTTCTTCTTCTTGAGATCCCAGAGTGACAATTAATGAATCTCTTGTGCAAAACTGAACAAGCAGCTCTCAATTCAAATTATCTGTCTTTCAGGAGTRTTTATTATGCCTAGAGTCAGCTGCTGGCACAGGAATGCACATGATACTGCAAATCTCAGTTAAACAGGCATTAATAGGCTTTTAATAAAGCCCAGGAACTATGAATAGCCTATTTTTTCCAAATAATTTCTATGACAACATACAGTCCTGGAAAATGATGGTTTTGATTTATAACCATACTTCTATTTATGTTTTACCCTCCTCTAGCATCACAATAAAAGCCTTACGGCAGCAATCAGTACGACTGTCAATCAATAAAAACTGCAACCATATGAAATAACCCAAACCAACACAAGTGAASAAATTACAAAAACCTAAGAAAAATCAGTRATTCATCAGTAAAGAAATTCATYCAGCTAGCATCCTAGCTCTAGCCAGRTTGATAAAAATCACTCATCTTGAAGAAAATGTGGGCCGACAATCCAAACTCACAATCTAGTTTAACAGTGACACCTTGACCCACAAGGGTGACACTGGCTTTGGGTGCCACACATATCTTTAGTTCACCTAAACCAAACTCTGCAACTTGTACCTTCTTTCACTGAGTCTTCCCTACCATATAATCATCCAGACATTCCCCTTTAAGTAAAACTATATTTATATCAGACACATAAAATTATTTCTGCTACAACTCAAGGCTGAGACGTGCCCTACAGGAGAAGTTTAAATTTGTGYAAAAGTCTTACCACATACAGTTTTAAGGGATCGTGAATCACCATCCTGACAAATCTCTCTGTGATTTCATGAAATGGGAGGTTGTCATAACAATTTTATTTTAGGAAACAGAATTGTGTAAAATACTTTGCTGAGTAACTTACAGTAACTAGATTGCAAGTTGCTAAACAACCGAGAAAAAGATGTATCAAAGAAGACAAACCTGGTGAATGTTAAAGTCACCTTTATCACAGCACAGTTAGCTGTATCAGGGTGTTTACCTGTGTCAGATTTGTTTACATTAAGACTAGAAATATTGATCCAAGTCTTTTCCTGCAAGYGTGCTGCAAAAACAATGCCAGCTGTCTCCAAAGCCACAACTAGTCAYATGAACCAAAGCTGAAAACTTTCTTGCTGAGCAACTGCTCAGATTTGTGTCATCATAGGAGGCCATGTGCTCTCAGAGAGAGAACTCTAGGAGAAATTGAATTCTTCTGCTTCCATTTACTGCCAGTTCCACTAATCTGTCTTCAACTAAGTTTACAATGAGATTAAAATAATGACTCAGTCATCCTAGCCTCCCTCTTCACACACAAATTACTCTTATMAGCTGCCTGTATCAGCTGACAGACATTTCCTGAAGGGCTGTTTGCTTCTTTTGATTTCAAATGCAATGGGGAGSAGAGATTGCATCATATCAACAATACCACCTTAAAATGGCAAACACTAAAACCATGACAAGTAGAAAGTTAAAGACACAGATGTTTCCACATCTGTTTAATCAAGGGACATAAAATACTAGCTAACAAAGCCCCAGAGGTACATATTATATTGGTGCAGGAGAAAGCAGAACAGAATGTTCACTTCTCCCCTCCCAACAAATCCATACCCATCTCCTTATAAACCACCCCTCACACACATCAGAAATCCAAGGGTTTTCAAAAAGCACCATGAATTATTGGGAGCAGACACAAACTCTGGGGGTCTACACCTTCTGGCACAAAAGCAGCTGACATGCTGCAAATCTAATTTGATTTTGACTAGCTTACTCCGTCTATGGCTAAATACCTTCTTGYTCACATCAATAGCTTGTACTGTCACCAAAACCGTGCAAGTATTCCCACAGCAGCCTGCAACAGGCTTACATGCACAAAAGGGTCTCAGTTCCACCAGGAAAACAACTCTTGTGCTGTAAACAAACTTAGGTTTCATAATAGAATTCATATTAATTCCCACCTATCTATGCTTCCTATGTCCCTCCTGCTGCTTTCTTTGTCAAGAGGATTAGATCAAAGAAATAAAATAGTTCAGCTCAATGTTTTCAGTGTTTATACACAGTCTCAGAGTAACTGTATGTAAAAGTGCCTAATACAAACCAACTATGTATCCTCTACATTAAAACCAAAGCAAAGGGCACACTCAAAGTGYGTGTTTTGACAATCAGCTGATCAGGTAGACGAAGGAATGGATTTTGASGTTCAACAGCCAACTATTCACTGTTAACAAGGTATCTCTCTGAGTCATTAAACTTTCTCCTGTCTTAAAAGCATAAACTTTGCTCACAGTTTCAATATACAGTTTGGTTTTGCTAGCATCTACAGATCAAGACTCCCAATCTAGCCTAGTTGCCTAGGCTTTGTTTCACACTGTGGCTTGGTCTCAGGGCACCTCACTTGGACTCCCAGCAGATGATGCTAAACTGGCACACATGGCTCAAGGAGACACCTAACACATGCCAGCTAGGACTGGTCCTTCAGTCCAGATGACCAAACTAATTAATCTCCAAAACACACAGAGTATGAACATGAAGTCCTCAGCATCCACTGAGCCCTACAGATGTGCTGGTACTGTGCCACAGCACCTGTTACAGCAGATACAGCCACAAATATCAAGGTTAAATTTTAACTTCTCCCTGAGCTATTTGATTGAAAGACGGAAAACATAATTTTGTTTGAAGAAAGGAATAAAGCTAGTGCTATGTTGTGACAGAGGCTTAGTCTGTGAACGGGCACAAGAAGTCTTGTCATTTGGACCCTAAGGAGGCTCCTTTCCAYGAGGATGGCATGCCAAAGAAAGACAAGAAAAAGCAGGTATACAGTGCTGTGCTGGGTCTCGCTGAGGTGATAAATTCTCCCCGTAGCAGCCCTCACAGTGCAGTGCTTTGCACTGGAAGCTAGAAAGGTGCTTGTAACACACCAGCCTTGGCTACTGCTGAGCAGCACTTCCAACATAAGCAGCTTCTCCAACATTATCCTCTCACCTGCAGGCAGTGCATAGGAGATCTTGGAAGGGGACACAGCCAGGACAGCTGACCCCAATCGACCAAGGGGATATTCCATACCATCTGCTCAGCAATACAAGCTAGGAGAAAGGAGGAGGAGGCAGGGACAATTCCTGGCTACGATTCCAGACCAATAACCACACGTACAGCAGCCCTGCTTCCCAGGAAGTGATGGAGATCATCTGCTGATGGGATGTAGTCAATACATATTTTATTTTCCTCTGMTTCCATGCATGGCCTTTGCTTTTGCTTTATTAAACTGTCTTTATCTTGACATGTGGTTTTTTCCATCTTACTTTCTCCCTCCTCATCCTGCTGGGTAGGGGAATAACAGAGCAGCTTTGTGGACACCTGCTGTCCAGCCAAGGTCAACACACCTCAAATAAAAGGATGCAGAATWACAAGATGACCAACTTTGCTGATGAAGAAATTACATAAATGTTCATTCTCCTGCCTTGTATKTAAATATATTAATGAAAATTACTTTTCCCTTCTCATAAAGCTGTTTCCTATTCAAGTAAATAAATACATTCAGGTTTATTTCTAGATGTTTTCACAATGCTTATTGATTACCATTGTTTTACATGTAAAATAAATATAAYCTAAGTCAGTCTACTTACCAAAGCACAAGAACAGCACTCTGGTTTGTTTTTTTAACGAGCAAATAGCAAGGACAAACTCATGACCTAAGTTAGCAGGTAAACATTTCAGGTAAATACAGTCTTGGCTAGAAAGAAAAATAGCTAGCTGAGGAAAGCAGCACAAAACCAGGTGGCTTTTGTATGAACAGAAAAACAGTGACAGTCCACTGAACCTCCCTGCTTTCATTTCTAAGCAGCAGTAATSCAATAAACCTAGTTAAAACTACTAAGTAACTGCAGTCTTAGTATCCTCCACCACCACAACTGAGAGATTCCCATCTAAAATAAAAGCAGATAATAGTAGCACCATCTATTTTTACTTGTCTTTTCAAAAGCGCCATATGGTCAAACACCTCACAGACACAGGAGTAGGGACCAAAGGGTAAAAGGAATTACTCAGCACACAGCAAGACCACCTCATAATGCCAACCTGTGTTCAAATATGCCTAGCCTCTATGCTTCTGCACAATCTGAATTTAATAGTACTTGTTTTCCTCCAGCCTTCTGTTACCTGGCAAGATAATTTAAAGGAAGGTCAGCAATATGAAAATTCCCAAATTCCCCAATTCTCTTGAAGGAGCATCTAACTTGCTACTGCTTTATGATACAAGAAAAATTGTACCTTTGGTCTCCTAGTTACAAGGAAAACAAACTGGTGATAAGGTTCAAGGGCATGGAAATTTACTRCACCAAATCGAAGTGCTCACCTGCTGGTTTCCCAGTCTTGGTCATCCTTATCTTTTTCTTCTTTGGCATCAGAATTGTGTGGGTGTTTCTGCACAATCCGCATCCCACCAGCTTTCACTGGAATGAAAAGAAATAGAGAACAACAAATCTCAGTCAAATCAGCCTAAGTGAAGAATGTTTCAAGGAAGACCCMCCCCACTTTCCTCCTGATACTTTGCATAGTAGTTTAAAAGTAATCACAGTCTGAAAAAGAAGCCCAAAGTGCTAAAAAGTGACAGACCTGTGGAACAACTACTTCAGRACCACATCTGCTATTCTCTTTTGAATGATGCCATCTTTGCTTATCTTGAAAGCTGCAGCTCATTTTATCACCTACTTCCAATGACATTTTAGAAAACTCAAATCTGTTTTAATTCCCCCTCCACCCCATWCTAACTTGCAGCAGTCAGAATAAAATGAGGTTGACTCGAGTAATACTACMCAAAAGGCCACAAACCAAAGAAACTAACCTGTCATCCCCTGTAGTTAAAAACTACATCTATAATAACAGTATTTATACAAAGAAGTACTTCACAGTGTAATAAAAAGCAACATTTAGGACGACGGTTAACTTGTATTTAGAACAGAGTTTTTTGTTTTGCAAAACATGAGCATTTACAACACTTGAAATCCTTGCATCATTTTAGAAGTGATGCAAACATAAAAGCAGGCCTTTGAAACACAAAACAAGAAGTGGAAGCAAATCCACTTATGTACATCACTTATCCACTCCAAAGTGCAATATAAAACAGGAACCAAGCCAGACTTAGCACTGCAGCTACTAAGCWGAGCAACAGGCAGGCTGCTCTTGATCTGCTTCCTGGTTCAATACTGTACTTTTCTTTTTCTTCAACAATTGCTACACACGCTTACAGGACCACGCAGGATAAGACGATGCATCTCGTTAGCTTAATTGGATGGGTTACACTGCCATCAGCAACTACATCAGAAAAACCACTACAGTGGTCAGAAGTCAATAAAACCACTTACAGACAAGCTGGTTTGTGTTTCAGTGCCTTGACACAGTAAGTCTGTGGTGAGCCTCAGCAGAGATGTCGAGCAGGATGCCAGAGCAGCACCTGGGAGAAGCTGAAGCGCTCGCTGGCACGTACAGGGGAGGTTGTAAATCTGCCAGCCCTCCKGTGTCCTGCCACAGAGGGAGCAGGGCACCTCACAGCAGTTCAGTCCTAATCCCAGAAACCTAGATACAGGTCTAATTCCCAATTCTTAACCAGGACACCAATGGAAAGGACACTGCTATTTTTAAATTTTACAGCCTGGGTGAAGGAAAGCAAGGAAGAGAAAGTGAACTGCGCCAGGAGAAAGTGGCAGCTCTTTGGCCCTGTCTTTTATAAACAGATTWTAAGCTTTGAGTGGTATTTGAAAGGTAAATTCTAATTTGATAGAGATCATTACTAAAGACAGGCAATCAACAGACAAACTCRAAGAAATATCTTTTAAAACCTATCAAAACTGTGTCCTCTTATCACACACTAAGAAAACCCCAAAGCCAAATCACTAACCATTTTGTGTTCTCTCTCCAGTATAAAACTCACACTTTAATCAGTGAGAAATGTTTCACATGGGACAAGGAAAGAAAGACAGATTGAAAAACGACATTTCTCTGTTGCCTCAAGTGAAGGAAAAATTAAAATTCCAATTCATTTTTTCTGGATTCAGGCTCTTTAGAAATTTAAGTTTATTTGCAAAAGCAAACACGAAGAGTTCGGTCAAGTGCAGTCCTGTTTTAACATCTCAGTTAATCAAAGCACTGCTATGCTTTATTTACATTAATTTATAAATTATTAAATTATTTTAATTAATCTCTAAAATTAACATCATTGCACAATCAGATCTTTTTACTTATTTATTTCAAATGACTTTGTGGAAGATACTGTCTCCACAGCAACATCTGCCTGGGTTCCGCAGTTCGGAACAATACACACACTTCCATGTCCTTCAACATCTAACAGAAAACTAGAGAAAACAATACCTGCAGATTTAATGCTAATATAATCCTAAAGTGTCTCTCCTCTCATATTGTATATCATCAGGCCACCAGCCACTTCTTTTCTCTTTATCTGTCACTGCAAAAGATATGCAGCTAACACATTCAGATTTATCTCTATGCAGAATTAACAAGGATTAAAAAGCAAATAACCAGACAACTAAAAGGAATAATAGTGACTAATGCAGCAACTTAGAATTTTTAATCTGATTTTTTGAACTAATATCAGCAGGCATATTATAGACAGCCTAAAGTACTTAGGTGCATAATTAAATCATATTCAGCAACCCAAGGCTATTGTGCATAAGAATCCAGCAAACAGCTGCAATAATCATGTGTATTTGTGAGACCAAAAGTGAAATAATTAGATAGCACTCTRTATACACAACTGATGTACCTCTCTGCCACCCTTGACAGAGCATGCTCATACCCAATCCAGTTTCAAGAGATTTAACTTAAGATGAYAGATACCCTTGCAACATAATTCACCTTCCTTTTTCAAAAGTTATCAACTAAGCTACACTACCTCAGGGTGTGAAAASAGAAGAAATTATTACATCCACTAAGCTAATGAAAAACCCACACAACATTTGTGAGATTTTCTTGGGAGTTAGGAGGAKTCATTTATTTCCTACTTGCCTAGCATTTACTACATAATTTGACAGATGCTTACCATGGTGATTTTGTCACTTAGAAGTTATCCTTAAAAGAGCTGAGATTTCCTTATCCTGCAAACAAAGGATTTACATAACTGATAAACCACRTTCCAGAACACCATCAGAAAGCAGTGTCCAAAAGTGGACAGCATCAATGACACTGTACTGGGATTAGGGAGAAAGCAGCTCCTGTGATGAAGAGCAGGAGAAGAGCTCAAGTGCTAAGGCAGGAGAAGACAGGGAATGGCTCCCTGGAGCGGTTATGGCCAAGCGGCCATAAACCTTTACTAAAGCATGAAAAAAATATGGGTTCATTTGCCACCACACTGAGAAGAGCAACAAGTCTATTAGCCTCACTGCTGAACACAAGTTTGGGATTTTAATTATCATCTGTATGTTTTCTCCCCTCAAGAGGCAGACAGGACTACCTTGTCAGTCCTGTGAATGCCAGCCTGTGCTCCCCATAAGGGTAATACTACTCCTGAAAATGTATTAAGCAACTGTGTTAATCAATTACCACTCAAGCTGATCTGGAGTGGGGAAGCATTCTACTTTTTCCTCCCTGCCCCCACTGCTGATCTCCTCTCTGTTTCTGAGACTGAATTCTGAAATAAATCCACTGAGTTGGAGTGAGTACCAAGCGCCTAGAAAAGCATCACAGGTCATGGGCACCCTTGGTCCCAGTTCACTCAGGGAGCACACCTGAGACAGTCCTTCCCAGGGAAACCTTCCAGCTCTACCCAAATCACCCACTGCTCATGGCAATTAGACAGAAACTTTTAGAAATACAGAGTACAATGAGAGTCTTAGCAGCTTTCTTTAGTCTTGAGTACGGTATTCAATACTAACACAAAAATTTATTTCTTATGCACTGTGTAGTAACAGATTYCATTACAACGATGAGATTTGTGAAAAGGGAAATACAAAATATGCCCCAAGACTAAGGGAGCATACATTAGTGTTCAACGAAGTAAGTACAGAAGTAAGAGTTATTATATGCCTTCATTTCACAGAATTCTTGGCTCASAGCTATTTTTTTAATGCAGGAAAAATCATGTAACTATTTTCACTAATCTATCATACAACTTTGTAAATACACTATAAAYACAATCACCTTCCTTTATCCCTCCACAGTAAGTACTAGATGGACAGCTAAAGCATAATTACACAGATCTCTTCAGAGGGACTGTACAAWCCTACTCAGCAATGTATTATGGGCACACTTGATCTCACTAACAGACGGATATKTAATAAAGATTAAGTGAGAGCCCTCTTAAATTTCAGAGGGGAGGTCAAAGTCGCTTCCTGCACTGAGGTCCTGAGGTTTCTTTCCATTTCATTATCCTTTCTCTTTCCAAGTGCCTTTTCTTTCCCTGCTATGTCAAAGATCAATGCAGAGAGAAACGCAGTGCAGTCAGTAAGCAAGGGCCAGCAGTGCACATGAAAAACAACAGATTTGTCAATTTTGTTTTCAATTTGATGACTCACATCCTTCCCTTTACATGTCCAACATATTCAATACGGTAAGGCATATCTGGGCTTACAGGTAGTGCTCTTAAAAAAAACTGTATGCAGCAAAACCTGAGTTTTCAAGCCATCTATCAAAAGAGATCACCTGTTGACATATTTTCTTTGATAGAAATTTGCCTTATTTATGAACAAAATTCCACTTCTATTAATTTTTAGAAGAATTTCTTACTTTCATTTTATTAAAACTTATTTGCAGACTGATTTACTGCATTATTCTAATATTCAGGGTTCCAAATCAGCTTGAGATAGAAGGATTAAAACCTAGCTTCAGCCACTAGAGTAAATATATACACTTGCTAGTCAAAACATTTCTTGCGGATTTTCCAAGTATTAGAAGACCACAGGGCCAGACAGGTCAGAAAAATCTTCTTCCTGAGGCGCCCTGAAGATATGGTAAAACATTAGCTTTTTTCTCACTTCAAAGACAGACTCAGTGATCATCTTCCTTCCAAAACTCATTATTTTTGTGCGTCCTCACAAAAAATAATAAAAGAAACCCAACAAAACAGGGATACAAATGATCTTAAATGGCACATAGTTGAAGGCATCCTTCAGTTCGTATGTTGGGCCCATGTTTTACAAAGAAAAAATCCAAAATGAAATATTTTGACGGTGAAGGAAACCTGTACTCTACTCCAGTTATGCTTTCACATTGTGTGTTGCTAGTTTCTCATGTGACCTAGAGAGGCTCTCTTCAGGTCTTTAAAAAATTTCCACCAGTTTCAAGAGAGAGGTTTTGAAGCAAAAATCTCAAACACGGAACAACATCAGAAAGTACAGTTAACAAAGCATCTTCACTTCATCAATGGTGTAGCTGGAAGACACAGCTAAACCGCTGTAAGATCTTAATGATCCCTCCACTCTGAAGCTGACGTGTACCTGAAGACAAGCCAGCTCAGGGAGCTAGGGCTAAAAGAGCTTGTCAGCATTGGAAAATGATGCTTTGGTTTGGTTCCCTGACGCAGCTCAACAGGAAGCCAGGCAAGAGCTAATGTCATGACAAGGGAGGCTGCAGGACTGGAATGACTGCTCAGCCAAGAGACTGACCTTTACTGCTGGACTGTGTCTGCCATGTAAAGCAAAGCCATTACTTCTCACYTCTGTTGAGAGGAATTTCAGGTCCTCATTACAAAGGGCACAGAATAGGGTTCAACAGCTGTTTACAAATTCAGCTTTAAATCTCATCAATTTACCTGAAGATAAACTAGCAACCTTGAGAATTTAGAATTTCAGTACTTTTTACTAAAATGCCTAAAAAAAAAACTCACCAACTACTCCACAGAGAAACGTTAGATGACATATGAAAAGCTGTTTGTGAAGGAACAACAGTTCCCTTTTGTAAGAAAATTCTAAGAAGCAAAACTAAGAGTAGGTGAAGGAACACAGCTTCAATACCGCAAGTAACTGTACAGAGATGAGCGGCCATCTGGACAGTGGCAGATGAGTGACCCGCTGAAGGTGACACACAGCTCCCACCCTGACCGCCCACTCGCTCACAGCAGCAGGATGGAAGGCGATGGAGCTCCTTTGCTGGGCACTTCTCAAGCAGCTTTACCTGTTTCCTACCCTGCCCGGCTCYAGAATTGCAGGCAGGAGCGTGCAGGCTGCTCTGGCACTCACACCGTGACAGGCAAAATGGATGCAGAGAGCACTCCTGTTTTGCAGTGTGTCTGTTCAYTCAGCGTACACTGCTGCAAGAGCCCCGCAGGCTGCGTGGGGCYGAGACCGCTCCGCTCCCCGTCCCACACCAGCCCCAGGGGGGGGTTGCGGAGGCCTCCGCCGCCTTTGGAGGGTGGGATGCGGGTGAAGGGAACGCTGTCTGCCTGCCGGCTTGGAGCCCGCAGATGCCAAGCGGTACACACCCGCCGAGGGCTTGGCGACAGCCAGAGAGCTCCTCGGGGAGAGGCAGGGCAGGGAGCGTCTCCCGTCACCGGGGAAGGCAGCCGGGGGGCAGGGAGCGTCAGGGCGCCCAGGGCTCGGGAGGGGATCCCAGCGCTCCTCCCGCGGCCAGAGCGCCGCATCGCGCCCGAGCAGTGGGGAGCGAGGAACCCATCCCGGGGGGGCTCGAACCCACCGGGGCTCACACCCTCCGGGCTCGCATCCCCAGCAGCGGCGGGACCCGCCCGAGGCCGCCCTGGCCCTCCTCAGCCCCGGCGCGCACAGGACCGGCATTTGTCGGGGGTACGGCTCCCGGCCCCGCCGGCCCGCGGCCGCCCCGGCCCCCCCGTCCCGTCCCCCGGCGTGGCAAGAGAAAGAGCGGAGAGACGGGAACCGGCGGCCGTACCAGCAGGAGGGTGTCCGGCCCGCGTCTCTGCTTTTTCTTTGGGAGGCGAAGACATTTTTACTGTGGCAGCGGCCCCGTTCCCGCACCGGGCACACGGACACGGCACGGCGAACACGGCCCCGCTCCCGCCCTGTCAACGTGGCCGCCGGGGGGGCGGTGCTGGCCGGGCTCGGGCCCTGCCCCGGCCGGGCGGGGACGTGGCGCCCGCAACAGGCGGGCTCTGCTGAGCCTCCGGGCGTGTGGGCAGCGCTGCCAGCCGCATCCGCCCGGTTTGTGTGTCTGTCTGTCTGCCGAGGGAAAACGGCGCGGGAAGTTAACGCCGTGATTTTGACTCATCGGCGTGTGCGCTTGCAATAATACTTGTGGTAATTGGTGGCTAATTGGCAGTTCGCGCCTTGCGYTTTGTTGTGTTCTGCCAAACCGCCTATGTGTGAAGTGGCATTAAGAGAGCTATGCTGGTTTTGGCTGCGGCAGAATTAATTTTCTTCACAATAGATGGTATGGGCCGTGTTTTGGGTTTGTGCTGGAGACAGCATTGATAACTCGGAGCAATGAGTGCCCAGCTTGCCTTACCTTCAGATCTCATTTCCTTCCTGTTTGAAATGACAGTGCTGATTCACATCGTTTTAAGAAAATTTTCTAACACTTGAGTTATGTTTTCCAAGTCACATGTAGAAAGGCACGGAGCGTAATAGCGGAATGAATTATATTAGCAGCAAAGTGTAAACCATGCGAGCCATTCTGCTTTTCTTATAGTTTGAAATAAGAAAGCAAGTACCCCAGAAGATGAGTTTGGAAGTAGACCCTCCCCCAAAGTGGTATAGAAATATTTCATCATACATTTTTCATAGGGAAATGAAGGTTTTAAAACTAAAATTATTTTAAAACAGTATTTATTATAAAGATATTTAGATATAAATTCATAATATATATCAAATAAATATTAAATCATTTTATATAGATATAAAAATTATATTGAAATATTTTATTTATTTGCTATCACTCATTGTTTCAACTATGTTGCAATTGCCAAAATATGTGCAATGTGTAAATGCATGTTTTGGGATTTTTTTTGCGACAAGCCAAAATATAATCACGTTATGCTATCCTCAGCAGCCTGAATGAGCAAATGTTGTAAAAACATTGTAACTAAGTTCTTATATTTTGCTGCTGAGTTATTTCAATTTTTTACACATGCAGCACTTTAAAGTCTCAGATTATGTTTTCAGCTCTGTCACCTTCTGTGGAGCCKAACACAAATTACTCCAATTCCTTTTCTAGTCTCTGTCAAAGTCTATCCAGATTATAATTTCTTTTAGGGTAGAATTTTATCCTTAATGGAATTTTTTTTTTGTCTACCATCCTCTAAAATGGAAATTTTAATTTTTTTTTTGTCCACCATCCTCTAAATTTGAATTAAAATATTACATTTTCACTTTTTCTTGGTTTTCCCACATTTGTTTGCTTTGGATTTCCTTGTTCAGGTCACAGCAGTTGGTAGGAATTTTTGCCGTTGCAGGTTTAATCTAAACCAAACTCTTATAGAAATGAAATTAAAGAAAATGTGTTTTATGACATTAAAACACCTGCAAGTTAATGATTTTTCTCWAAGGAGCAGTAATAAATTCCTGTTTAATCACAAAGCTTTAGTACATGAAGATGCACTGGGAGGAAGTGTTACATCAAAGATGGGCTTTGGCTGTTCTTTCTACAGCTAGCAAYATTTCTTAATGTTAGGAGAATTTGCATGTTGCCATTAGCACATGTCCTTGTATGAAGGCTTGCTGTGGCTTTGCAGCTAAAATTCAACATCTTAGAGACAAAGAGCTGAAAATGCAGCTGTGCATTGGGTTTGGAAGCTGGGATCTCAAGGTAAGCCATTCTAGCACAGAAGGAGCAAGGACTGGAAGAGGGGAAGAGAGACCAAAACAGGAAAAAATGCGTAACAGGAGGACTTGGCCTGAGTGAACAAGGAGACAAGGTTAAAAAGTTGATTAGGGGGTGGTGGAGAGGTAACATGAGAATTGCAAAGCAGAGCAAATACCATGACAGAAGGAAAGAAATTCATTTCCTCAAACAATGAAATAAGGAGCCAGGAGAACTGGTTGAGTTAGATCAGGATGAGGACCCCAGGGAAAAGGGAGAAAGGTAGGTCAGGCAGGAGCAAGCACACAGAGCATCAGGCTTGTGGGAGGGAGAGGGAAGGATCTTTGCTACTTTCCGTTGTCTGGAGCTTCTCAGACCAACCTCTCTATAGCTGTCAGTGCACACAATTACTCCTTTCCTTGAATGCTACATTTGTATGCTTGCAGAATAATTATACAAGTATGATGCCAGAGATCAGATTTTTTTTTTTAAATGTTGCAAGAAAAGCAAAAAGGAGAGAAAAATCCAAAATGAAAATAAATACTTAAGTAAATAAATTGAGATTTATAAAACTGAGGATGTAAATGAGGAGATGCTGTAAAGTTTGTGAGTGGGACTTCAATTTTGTGAAACAAAATGATGATTTCTTTGGAAGATATAAGGCAACATGCATTTTTCCAGCTAGTGGTGGTGCTATCATATTAGTAGCAATCACATAATCAGAGAATCATTAAGGTTGGAAACCTTAATGACCTTAATGACCCTTAAGATCATCTAGTCCAACCATCAACTTAGCACTGCCCATGGAAGTGTTCAAAAATGTGTGGCTATGGCACTTGAGGACATGGTTTAACGGTGAACATAGTTCGCCCTGGGCAATCTGTTCCAATCCTTTACAACCCTTTCAGTGAAGACATTTTTCCTAATAATCAATCTAAACCACACTTGGCACAACTTGAGGCGGTTTCCTCCTATCCTGTTACTTGATACCTGRGAGAAGATATTGGCACCCTCCTGGCTACAGCCTCCTTTCACAGGTACCTGTACAAAGCACTAAGGTCTGGCCCTGAGCCTCCTTTCCCCCAGGCTAAACAATGTCCTGCTCAATTATGCCAATGTACAAGAAATACAGTCATTCTTAACAACAGGCAGTAAAATGCCAGGATTTTTCAGTCACTTAGTCATTTCCAGCAGGCCTGTTGTTTGTACCAGCACGCACAAATGGCAGCGACAGCGGGGAAACTTCATCAGAAAACAGGCAGAGATTTTACAAAAAGTTGGCTGTGGAGTCACTTCCTTTGCCAATTCAGCCACGCCTGGTGCTGACACACTTTCCCCAGAGATTGTAGCAAAGGCAAGTCCCTACTGGAAAAATGAGTGAATGACAGCATCACAGGGCACTGAAATGTAACAGCGTGCTGAGGGAAGAGTAAATAAATCATGTTTTTTAGAATATTTCATGTTTTAATGTGTTTTGAAGTCTGGCGGATGTTTTAGAATTATGAGTATTTTTGTGGAGGGTTCCACTGCATGCTTCCTCAGCTCATGGGTAAGAGCTGGTAATAGACATCTCAAGTCTCTGTGTCATTATCCAGCACAACCAAGAAAAAGAATTCTCCAGCTACTACTAATTTTAACTAAAATAGCAAGCAGAYGGAAGTTACGTCTTTTGTGGTAAAGGTGCAGGCAAAAACCCAACTCCCGCATTAAAAAAAAGCCAACCAAAAATAGGAAAAAAAAACCTTTCCAGATCCTGAAGGCTAAGTTAAAAAAACCAGCCTGGAGAGAATAGTTAGGAAAGTATGCMAAAGTATGCATGTAACAGCTATTTTCAGTGGGCAGTTGGGTCTTCACAGCACTTTTGACAGTAATGCCAGATTCTCATTTTTTGTGCTTTACAGCCCAAAGTATGTTCAATAAGCAATCTTTGTTAAAAATAAACAGTCTGTTRAACTATGATTAGGACACCATTTATGTCAATTTTGAAAATGCTCACCAGTGCTAAACAGATGGCTGTAGTTTTGGTGCTTTCACCCAGGGCCTGCAGCAAAATTTTGTGTTCTTTCTGAAAATAGTGACACTGAAAAGCAATTTTTTGGTTCAAGTCAATGAGAAATTATAATAGTGCAACCTGGGGTCACTCAGCATTTAAAAGGCAGCTAACTGCTTTGCCACACGATTTCTGCTGTCATTTTTAGCACACATATGCCTAAGCATGCTGTAAATCCTGGGAAGTATGATAATCTGCTCTGTATTTAGCTTTTGGGTAGGCAAAACTCTTTCAGTGAATAGGGTTTTACCAAATTTATAGACAGGCATCAAGTTAATGAAAACAACCAGCTGATTTTGATAATGCACGCAGGATAGTTTTGCTTGAAAGCAGGTAGTTGTTTTGAAATTTTGAATGTTTTATTTCAATATCATGTTTTAAAATGTTGCTGTTTTTAAAGATTAAAAACCATGGGGAAACATAATTATTTTCTCTTTTTGTCTTGTTATTTTTCTTTTTTCTCCCCCTACCAGTTAGTAAAAAAATCAGTTCTCCTCATAGTTCTAATCTTACATGGCATTTTTAGGGTGCTATAATTTCTGAGAAATGGTAAAACAAACCAAAGGGTTTACTTAGGAATTTGATCCTTCACTTCGACTTTTTGAGTTTGCAGATCTTTGTTTGTATATGTTGCTATTCACTGCTTAATAGAATGGACTTAGTCTGATACAGCCACCTGATGGGAAAAWTCCTTGCTTTTTTGCTTATGTGGAAATATGTAAAGATTTTAACGAAGGTCAAATAATGTARTTTCAGTTCTGTTCACTTCTATGCCAGATTGAGGAAAGGGTGCTGTGTTTAAGACTATGGTTTGTTAAGAAGTCTTCAGAGATTGTGTGGGCTGCCACCCAAAAAGGTGACTTTGTTATAATGTGCAGATGTGGGAAAATTGGTTGTGTAAGAAAACAAGCAAATAAAATTGGGGCAAAGTATAACATGCTTTAATAACTGTTTTCCATCCTTCTCTTACCAATTGTCATTGCATTGACTCATTAAAGTCACTTGGGTTGCAATGTTTGCTGGTTTCTCTGTATCTTGATGATCTGATTAATTCCATGGTGTTACTCTGACAAGGAACTCAAATTTATTTGCGTGCTTGATTTACTAATTCAGTGTTCCAGGAAAACCTAAAAATTTTTTTTCTTTAGAAAAAGTTCCCACTGGGACAAACAAAAATTTGTTGAGTGTTAAAAGTTTCTGAATTGAATCACACTGTAATTTTAAGACTCAA